TTACGGAAGGGTAAGTCATCTCCTCCATTTTTTTTTTTTTGTATTATATATATATATATATATATATATGGTATTTTTGAATTTTTTTTTCAATTTTTTGTAGTAAATTCTAAAATAAAGTAAAATAAAAATAAAATAAGAAAAAAAAAGATGGAGGATATTTTTGGTTGTGACACATGATAAGAAGGAAAAGATACATAAGTTACGAACTCATAAATACAAGAATAGATTTTGGTAAGAAAGAAAATCCCAAAAATTGAGTATGACCAAACGTGGCCGTTGTCATACCGTCCATGCATGTCTTTTTTTCGTCTCGTGGGTTTCATGCTTTAGTTGATCGCATGCATTTTAATTCGTCTTGTTAATTATTACGAGTTAAAGCCGGTATTAAATTTCACACATATAATTTGTACTCGCTTCCTAAGAAGGATTGAGGGTCGGTTTGATGGGTTTTGTCATAAACGGATATATAAATCTTAAGAAAAGATATTGTGCACGAAACTTGCATACATATATATATATATATCTGTGTGTGTGTGTGTGTGTGTGTGTGTGTGTGTGTGTGTGTGTGTGTGTGTGTGTGTGTGCCTTAGCTATCTAGGTTATTGGCTTATGGGAAATATTTGCATCATCGGGATGCAATTTTTTAAGTTGATAACGTCACGTTAATCTTGCTCTAAAAGATCCGAATTAGATTTTCCTCACGAGGTTATAAGAGTTAATAAGAGAGAAAAAGGTTTCGATATAGATGTTTAACTAGTCGATTACTCGTGCTATTCTGCGAGGTTTTAGTAAAATAAAATCATTTTAAAATTTTTTAATTATAATTTTTTATTTAATTAATTTTTTCTAATGTTTTTTTTTTATATATAAATTTTTTTGCTTAAAAAAACATAAATCAATTTTCTTTATGGATTGATTTTAAATAAAATATTAATCGAGAATTAAAAAATTTAAAAATATATTTTCTTAATATCGTATTTCAAAAAATAAAGTTATAATTAATGGATAGACTTTTGTAAAAACTAACAAATGAAAAACAAAATCTTATTTAATACTGACGAGAAAATTAATTTTTGAAATTATCCGCGCAACGCTACAGGTAGATAAAACAAAATCATTTCAAAATTTTATAAATTTTTCATTAATTTTTATTTAATTATTACTATTTTTTTTTCTTTTCATAAAATTTTTGCTTAAAAAAAACATGATTTATTCTTCTTTATTTAGGGATTCTAAAATAAAAACTTGTAATAATTTAAACCTAAAATATTAATTAAGAATTTAAAAACAAATACTTTAAAAATATATTGTTTTATAAGAATATATCCAAAAAATAAAGTTACAATTGATGTATAGACTTGCATATAAATTAACTAATGAAAAAATAAAATTTTATTCTTATTTAATGTTGATGAGGAGATTATTTTTAAAAACTATATGCATTTGATCTATATATATTTATTTAAAAACTAATTAATAAAATTAGCATAAAAAATATTTGAATAATTTATTGGTTCCCTTTAAAAACTATTTTAATTATTTTATTTCAAATAAATTGATTCTATAATGTTAAAAAAAATATTCATAGTAAATAATTTGTATTATGTTAGAAGATATATAGTTAATTTTTAATTAAAAAAATGATTCAATAGTTTTTTTTATACGTCATGACCATACTTAGTGAATTGATACAAATTATTTGAAATATAATTTTAACCTTGTAGAATATATATATATATATATATATATATATATATATATATATAGTTTTTTTTTATACGTCATGACCATACTTAGTGAATTGATACAAATTATTTGAAATATATATATATATATTCTAAGAGGTTAAAAGTGTATTTCAAATAATTTATATCAGTTTATTTAAACATTCTAAGAGTTCATGATATATATTATACTAATTTATTTAAAAAGAAAAAAGAAAAAAAACCATGCTTTAAAATTTTATTCTAAAATTCAAACATAAAGTAAAATAAATGATATTTATCAATAAATAAAATTGTATATAAAAATATTAATTGGATAAGAATTTTCATAAAAAATGATAAATTCAAAGAATAAAATTTAAATAATAAAAATAATATAAGCTGAAGTATATGTTAATTTTAAAACATAAAAAGATAATACACACACACGCTGCGTGAAAAAAAGAAAAAAGAAAAAAGAAAAAAAGAAAGCTATGGATTGAAAAACAATGTTACAACATGAGGGATGAAAATAGAAAAAACTATTAAATTTGCATATTAATGCTCAAAAATACACACAAAAAAAAAATCACACACAAAAATTACTTAAATTGTCATCAAGTGAATAGTTATTTTATGAATATGAACAATAAGTGAATAAGAATTTTGGGATATGAACAATTTGGATTCCTACGTTACGATGCGGATTGAACAAAATATATGTATTTCGGTTTGATAACATATATTATGTTACCGGTTAACTAAAATATATTAAATTAAATATAAAAGATAAAATTTCATCTAATTTTATAATTTTTAATCAAAATTTGTATGTATATATATATATATATATATATATATATATATATTATGTTTTGAATAATTTTGAAGTAAAAAAAAATGATATGTTTTTTCTTATGCATTTATTCCTAAATAAAAACCCATAATAAACAAATTTTAATATAATTTTTTTTTAAAAAAAGTCATAATATATATATTGATAACATTGCATCGAATAAATAAAGCAAAAATTAATATAAAAACTTATATGAAAATTAACAAATGAAGTTTTTTTATGATGAGAAGATTATTTTTTCAAATACACACACACACACACACACAAATTAATGAACAATATAAGTATATAAAATTGTATTTGAATCATTAAGCAATTATTCTAAAATATTATTCAATTATTTTATTTGAAAATTTTAATTTTAAAATATGAAAAATTAATAGCAAATAATTGGTATTGTGTGTGTAGATGTATAATTGATTTCTAATAAAATCAATAAATCTATTATTATTATTTTTTATACATCATGATCACACTTAATGGGTGAGAATGTATAATATAAATAGAAAAATATGTTTAAAAAATTAAATTATAAAATATATATTAAAGTTAATAGAGTGTAATAAAAGCTATAAAATTGATTTCGATAAAATTTGATTATATAAAGAATACAAAAATAAAATAAATATATTCTATTTTTAAAATTTGATTATATAAGAATTAAGAAAATAAAAATTGGTATAAAAAAAACTTATTTTAATCCATACATAGAGAAAATAAATCATATTTGTTAATAAATAAAATTATATAAAAAAATAAGAAGAAAAATTAACTTCATGAGAATTATTATAATAAATTGAAAAGATCAATTTTAAACAATAAAAATAGTATATATTTATTCTAAACTATAAAAATATATCGTATATATTATCTAATCGTCGGTTTGTGAGAAAAAAGTAAATAATTGATTTTAAAAAAATTTAACACCCAATTAAAAAAAAAAAGAACATAAATTGATGGAAAAAAAAGTAAAGAAAATAAAAGGAAAAGGCATGTAGTGCATTAGTTGGGGATTAAAATTTTTATTTTAAAATTTTAGGGACCAAAACAAATAATTTGAAAATTACGAAAAAAAAAACCTAAGAGTGAATAGTACATTGTGAGGGTAACACCCAATTAAATAAATAAATAAAGAACATAAATTGATGAAAAAAAGCAAAGAAAAAAAAAGGTATACGAGTACATCGGCTAGGGATTAAATTTTTTATTTTAAAGTTTTAGGGACTAAAATGAAATAATTAGAAAATTACAAAAAATAAAATAAAATAAAACCTAAGAGTGAATAATATATTATAAGGGGATGAACAGTGTTGCCACTGGTCAAAAACCTTGTATGTTTTATTGTATTAATTAAAAAAATAACTAAGAGTGAATAGTATATTATAAGAGGATGAACAGTGTCTCTACTGTTTAAAACTCCGTATATGTTTTAGTGTATTAATAACGTGAGAGGATAAACAATATTACTACTGTTCAAAACCTCTATATGATTTAGTGTATTAGTAATAGTTTTATTTATGACATGTAGCGTGAGAAAACACAGAACGACAATCAATACTAAAAAACCGAGTAACGGAGTAGCTAGTATTTATGTAAACAATTCACAAGGGCACTCAACAAGGAGGGACCCAAGCCAGCTTTCATTTTAAATTGATGGCTTGAATGGGCATTGGCTTAGGGATATTAATGAGCACAAGATGTTGTTGCCCTACCATTGTCCCCCCACCAAGACTTTAAATTACCAACCGGGCGTTAATTTTAGTTTTTTATTTGGATATAACTTTGAGATCAAATAGGCATATGAAAAACTTAATCCAGTAATGCCTCAATCATTCAACTAAGACACCTTGATAAGACACGAGGCGAAGTCAGGAAACCATACACAGCAATAGACCGTACAAGATAAAGCCAAACTATGCATTATGGAAAAGGTTTATTAAACAAAAAATAAAATAAAATAAAATACAAATTTTACATTTTTTAATTATATTAACATCTTCTTTCAATATCAGACAAAAAAATATATAAACTAAATATCTATTAATTATATTAGTCCACATAAATTTACTCAGTTAAAATTCTATTACCAGATGGCATGATAGGAAATAAAAGCACATTGAAAATGAAATTTTTACAAAAAAAAATTCACATGTGCTAATATTAAAAGAACTTGCGAATAAAATTAAGAGTATAAAACTTATGTTTTTTAGTTCGAAATCAACGTAGGTAATAGATAACCAAAACTTTAGCCCCTTCTGTGCCGAGGTACTCCATATCTCTCTCTGTCTCTCTCTCGCGCCTTCCTTTTAGGACCCATTCCTTTTAATTGGCATATTTGCATTTCTCTGTATATCTTATTTGTAATGCCTTTAAAGTATAGTTAATGACCAATAATCACTTGTTTCAAGCTCTTCATCACACACTAGTCCCCCTTTCCCATGTTAACACCACTAAGTATAGAATGCAAGGCTCAAACTACCACTTCTTCTTCTTCTTCTTCAATCCCTTCTCCAATGAAGAATTCCACAAAACAAGAGTCCCGAAACAGCTCTAAGCGAAATCAAGACCCAAAAGGCAATAATGAAACTAAAAAAAAGGCTAAGAGTAGTGGAAATGCTGGAACGCACCCATCCTACCGTGGAGTAAGAAAGCGTCGATGGGGCAAATGGGTGTCCGAAATCCGGCAACCAAAGAAGAAGTCAAGAATTTGGCTAGGAACTTTCCCAACACCAGAAATGGCTGCTCGAGCTCACGATGTAGCTGCGCTTACAATTAAAGGTCATTCAGCTCACCTTAACTTCCCTGAACTCGCTCATGAATTTCCACGTCCAGCTAGTTCATCTCCCAAAGATATTCAAGCTGCCGCTGCCCTAGCAGCTACCTTGAGCTGCAAGACAAGTCAAAAGGGCTGTGAAACAGAAGCTGAAGCCAAGCAGGTGCTTCCTCACTCCCCCGATAGTACTTTGGCATCTAATGAGACGCAGGAGTATTCATTAAGCTCACCATTAGGAGATGATGATGATGACACATTTATCGATTTGCCGGATATTTTGCAAGACATAAGTCATCAATTTGATGAATTTTGTTACTTGTCCTCATGGCAGCCGGTTGGAGCCGAGATTTCTGATATTGGATTTTGGCATCCTGAGGAGCCTTCTTCATGGGAATACCAATAAAGTAGAAACATTATTAAAGCTACTATCCTGTTTTTTCTCTGCTTGATTTCTCCGAAGGACGGGGACAGAAAAATCAGTAAGTCCAAGTTTGAGTATATATGTTTGTTTTGGACAGAGATACTGTAAAACCTGAGTACTGTAGCTTGGATTTTCATGAATTGACAAATTAGGTGTACATATACAGCAGAGCCTTATTCCCTTTCGATCTACATGAACCTTGTATATTAAAAAAAAAAAAGAAGAGATAAATGGCAAAGTTTAATTACGTATTTATAATTTGGAAATGTATGACCCGAAATCCTACTGTTTTCCATTTTTCTTTTTTCTAATAAATCCTACCGTTTTCCATTTTTCTTTTTTCTAATCCTTGATGTGTCTTCTCTAGTTTTTTTTATTGAATCAGACTCAATTAGCCACCTACTTTAATTTGATAAACTCTCGTATGATCATGGGCTAGCCTTTTTTTTTTTTTTTCTTTTTCAATGTTATTTGTTAAGTTACAGTACTAATCCAAGTATTCAAAACAATTGTTAGATGACTCATCTCACATTGAATAAAATACTCAATAAATGAATAATATATAAAATTGAAAAGAACTATCCATTATAAGATTTAAGTTTTTTTTTTAATAAAATTCAATCTCAACTATATAACTTAATATGATATCAAAATTTTAAAAAAATCAAATTAATTACTCGACAAAGATTCGTAGCTCAAGCCACTTACAAGTACCGAAAGATGGTCTGCAATTTGGAGTGTCAACAAGTATATCTTTACATTGAATAAATACAAAAATATAAACTAATATAAAAAATATTGAGTGTATCATCTATCACAAGATTTAAGTTCTTTAGATAAAATAAGACTCAATTATCTAATTTAAAATAATATCAAATTTTTTATTAAAAAAAAGTTTAACAGTTTAATAATAAAATTTAATATGATATTAAAGTCTCAAAAAATACGTAACACTCCAACAAAATCTTAAAAATCAAACTACTTAACTCATCTCAAAAGATAAATTATAATTGAGGAAGAACATTAAAGAATATATCTCACAAAATCTTAAAAATCAAACTATTTAACTCATCTCAAAAGATAAATTATAATTGAGGAATAACATTAAAGAATGTATCTCCCAATGAATAAATATTTGATAAATAAATAATGTATAAAGCTAAAAAAAATAACACTCACTATAAAACTTAAATCTTTTAAATAAAATTTAATTTCTAACTGTATAACTTAATATGTCACCCACCTTGTCTTGAATGTTGAGAAGCATTTTTTTCACACCTCATCAACAACAAAGGGTTTTTAAAAAGCGATCAGTACTCTGAGTGATGGTACTTTGGTCTTGCAATCATTATCCTTATCGATATCGAATAAACCACTAACACTAAAAACCTAGCTAATGGTGAAACGTACTGTTAAAATAAAACCTTATTAGTAGTATTAAGGTACGCGGTTATGGGGTTAGAGAGTTAATTTGATTTGGTCAAAATAAAAATTTAATTTTTATTATTCATAAATAATTAGTTTAATTATTTTTTAATAGTAAGAAATTTGAGTTGATTTGATTTAAAAATAATTTTCTTATAATAGTTTAACTCAAAAATAATAAATTTATTTTTTATTAATGTAAAAATTGATTAAAAAATATGTCCATATATAACTAACCAAGATGTTCAAATAGATCAATTTTTTTTGTCCACTGGCCAATATTTTAATTTGAAGATGCAGTTTTTCTATTTAAATAATTACATAATTAATCATAAAGTCTCATTTAATGTCTAAATTAAATATGGACCCCTTGATGTTGATAATACACATAACTTGGTCCCAGGGGACATAACTTTCAAATTTGATAATGACCAATGACGTGATACCCTGCGAATCATGGAAAGCGCAAACAATATATAAGACAGATGACAGATCAGTATGATCTTGTTCAGCAGTACAAATCATCAAGGATTGGTCACTTTATTATTGCTCACGGTGTTCACGTTGTCCAATCATTTGTAAGATCATTGGATATTTTTCGAGGATGCACCAATCAGCAGCTGCCACCATCGTCGTTCAAGTATTCACAAAAAGAATGATTTGTGGATGGATGTCAAAATACAGGTGGTCGGTACTAAACTGAATGTATATGTCCTACAAGAGTTTTAGACAAACCCACGTAGAATTCTTGACCAATATTGCTAACAAAATTTAGAACATGTAATTAGCAAGAGAAAGTGACCTACTTTAATGCGACTCCAAGGATCCAATGCTGCGGAATATCGATTAAGATTTAACTCTATATATAAATTAACAAGTGTTTTTTATTCTCAGAATTCTCAAAACAAAAATAAAAATAGAAATGTCAAATCACAATTATTAATTAGAGTTGAAGGATCGATGGGTACTTCATGTATTTTTCAATTTTTTTTTTTTGTCAAAAAAAATACCATCTATCTTTTTATTTATATATATTTCAAAATATTTATTTGATCAAAACTATATAATTTTTTTAAAATATTTTTAATTAAAATCTATTTTGTAAAAAATTATCCAAATATAATTTTAAAATATGAACAATTAATATAATATAATAATTAATAACTTTTTTAACTTGTGTAAAAAATTAAAGAAGACAATTTCTTTTTTTAATCTATGACTGTTTCTATCAAAAACAAAAACAAAAGAAAAAAAATGTATGAATGTCAATAATATAAAATTATATGCTACGATAAAAAATATATATTTACTAAATTATATACCATCAATATATTTCTCTTATAAAAAATTTATACTTTCAAAGCTGAATCCTGAAGAAAAATTATGAAACCCAGTAAACAAATGTATACTTGGGCTTTTAATTTGTTTCACGAAAAAAAATAACAAAAAATAAAGAATACGTCTGCGAATAAAGGAAAAAGGTAAGAAAGTTAAAGCATACGAAATCCAGGACTTGTATCCGTCCAGAAAATGATTGAAGGAAAATAAAGCACAAACCACTCTCATATATTTTTCATCTTTTTGGAAGGAAGATAAAGCACAAACTATGCTCATGTATTTTTCATCGTTTTGGGAATTTGGACCGTTTTGACTTATCAAAAAACTTTATATTTGATGTTTGTGTCGGACAGACTGGCGGACATAGTGGGTCCGTGGGAGAGAGAGAGAGAGAGAGTAGCGACAATTGAAGGCCACCCTGTGCTTAATTCTTAAGTAATTGGAGATGGCTCTTTTCAAGCAATAGTTCTGTGCTTATTTAATATGATGCATGTATAGAAACTTTATTTATCCACGGGTTTCTTTCTTTATCTAGAGATTAGAAACTTGGATTCAGATTATTGGAAAAAGATTAATTACCTTCGGAAACAATGCATGGATTTACTTTATCAACAGCATGACTAAGTTAGGCAACTAAAGGAAAGAGTGCGAGTAAATTCCATGTTGATGATTGCAGACTTTTAACTATTCTCATTGTATGCCAAAATTTACCATCATTAGCTTCCACCTGTCAAGTATATCCTATACTTAGTCATGCATAATATCACATCATCCTGGAAAGTGTTTCTAGCTTCTTCAAAGTAATAAAGCGATGTTTTCTTAAATAAAAAATAAAATAAAATCTAAGCACCCGCACCCAATGTGATGTCTGTGAAGAGAAGGAAACCTTGGACCCAGACCAGCTAGCTAATTAATTGAGTGGCTACTAGCTGGATACATTTCTCGATTAGAAATTGATAAAGAATCTTAGACTAATTTGCTAAGTGACTGCTACAATGTGTTCAAACAATGGTTGCCTCATTTTAATGTTTTTGTTGAGTGAAAATAAGTAAAATGTTTCTGATGGCATCAAGGCATAATTCAGGTATAGAAAAGAAAATTTACTTATGTTATGGATCCGGGATATGAGTCGTAATAGACAGATATCCAACTCGTTAATTTAATTTTTTATTCTACTTATAAAAAGAATATCCTATCCATTATTCATTAAAAAATAATCATATAAATCTTTACTCGGTTTATATTTAATCCATATTAATTTATCTCGCTCATTTAGTACTCTTTTAATATCCGTTAAAAATAATTTATTAAAAATATTCATTTTAGTTTCTATATTTTTTTGTCCTTAAATTTTATTTATTTATTTATTGTATTTTGATCATTTATTTATAATTTTTTCCCTCAAAGTATTTTTAAAAAAAATATTTTAGTTTTTAATTTTTAAAGTTTATGCAATCAGATAACTATTATTAATAAAAACATTAAAATAAATGAGTATATATTAATATGATAAAGAGTAGATATTCATATTGTGAAACTATAGTAGTAGGTAAGTACTTTTTTTGAATCCTCCAAAATATCCCATACTTAAATATTTAAAGTAATTCATCATTATTATGTCCAATGCACAAAACAATGATAACTACCTAAAAAAATTTTATATACATAAATAAATACTTTTTACTCTTATATATTTTAATACCTATTAAATATTTTTAATTGATATTTATTATCAAATAAAATAAAATAGATACTCGTTTTATATCTCATACGTTCTCATCTTGATCGGGGATAAAAGACCATTTATTGGAAGAGATGTACATAATCTGAAATGTTGGCTATCAGTAGCTTTTCGAAAGTACATGATCGTGTGAAGTAACTGTAATTAGAAGATATGGAATGCTCGGTCCCCAAAGTTGATCTCGATCGATGATCACATCCTTGAAATGCTTCCCGTTGCTGTCTTCTCTAATAATTGGTAAATAAATTGTTAAATCTTAAGAGATATGTCTATGGAGAAGATTTACTTCTTCTTAATTTTTTTAAGTTTAAAATTTATAATTAATGCTTTAATTGATGGGGAGGTCTAAAACTTTATTTAATTTTAATTGATGTATAAACTAACTCAAAACCTTCAAAGTAACAATAATAATAATAATTAATTGTTAATTGATATATATGTCTTCAAAATGTTTTAGTCAAACATGTGCTAGCTCCAT